GGCCCGGCGGGGGCGGTGGCCGTGCCGCCTGCAGCAGAGTGCAAAGGAACCGCCGTTCTCACCACCGAGAGCAGCTCCAAAGGCCGTTCTGCTCCTGAGCCTCACGCTGCTTCTTCCTGGTGTCTTCTTCGGACAGAAACATACCCTTGTGTGTGTCTCTGTAACGTGCAGCAGGGCCAAAAGCATCCAGTTTATCGCGATAGTGTCACGGCCTCTAGTTTGCTGTGCTCTAATGGATCCGGGTTTGTGTGTTACCCTGGTAATGGAGTTGGGTTATTGCCTTGGGAGAGCAGAGCGGTGACCATGTTACTGCTACCGTGCAAGTTCAATGAATACAAAACTTCTGTTGTCAGAGTCCGATCCCAATGGCAGAAGTCCTGGTCTTTTCCTAAAAAGAGAGAGCGCTGAGACTGGTCAGGAAGCCAAGGGACCAGCACCGTAATTCTGGGGTGCCCGAATGGGGTTCTCCTCACTTGGTACTTTATAGTGCCTTAAAGTAGGTATTTGTGTTGAAACAGCCATTTTAATGTAGGAATGAAGTTGCTTGTTCTAATACGACTCAGCTGAGACATCTGCACTACACATGGAAGTAGTGATGCCAATAAATCTAATTATAACAGCAGAAGGGTAAACCTGCTGGGTTTGGCTGTGAGAATTTTTTGTGTTGTGTAATCCGTAAGTTTTTTCATATCAAGTCCATTGTCCTTTATTTTTCTTATCTTGATTCACTCAGTGATCTATATAGATCATGTACTGCTTTTGCGTTACTTAGCCATGTTCTGGGGATGTAGTTGCTTATAGGGGAATTCGAGTTGAAAACCACTTGGTGGACGAGAAGCTCAATATGAGCCGGCAATGTGCTCTTGCGGCCCAGAAGGCCAACCGCGTCCTGGGCTGCATCAAGAGGAGCGTGGCCAGCAGGTCAAGGGAGGTGATTCTCCCCCTCTACTCTGCCCTCGTGAGACCTCACTTGGAGTATTGCGTCCAGTTCTGGAGTCCCCAACATAAGAAGGACATGGACCAGTTGGAGAGGGTCCAGAGGAGGGCCACGAAGATGATAAGAGGGCTGGAGCACCTTTCCTATGAGGACAGGCTGAAAGAGTTGGGGCTGTTCAGCCTGGAGAAGAGGAGGCTCCGGGGTGACCTTATAGCGGTCTTCCAGTACCTCAAGGGGGCCTACAAGAAAGATGGGGAGAGGCTGTTCAGGAGGGCCAGTTGTGATAGGACAAGGGGTAATGGTTTTAAAATAGAGGGAGGTAGATTCAGGTTGGATATTAGGAAAAAATTTTTTACCATGAGAGTTGTAGAACACTGGAACAGGTTGCCCAGAGAGGTGGTGGATGCTCCATCCCTGGAGACGTTCAAGGCCCGGTTGGATGAGGCCCTGAGCAACCTGATCTAGTTGGAGATATCCCTGTTCCTTGCAGGGGGGTTGGACTAGATGACCTTTGAAGGTCCCTTCCAGCCCTAACGATTCTATGATTCTATGATTCTATATACTAGTAAAAACAATGGTTAATTCTTACATTAAAGTATTTTAAATTATTATTTTGGTTAAAAATCTTTTTCCCAATAAAGCATTCTTTTATCACTGAGAACCTTCAATTTGACTTAAAGCCAAGAGGCTCTAAAGTTCTCATTTGTTTTAAAACATTAGATTTCATGTTAACCAAATATTTGTTGTATACTAATTTCTATTGTTTCAAACCAGAATAAGTACCTTTAGAAACTAATGTTTGTTTAGGAGAAAAATAAATATGTTTTTAAAGTCTTCTGATAAATGTACTTCTTTTTGCTTTCAGAGTATGAAGCAGAACAGCCTCAATTTCCAGATGTTCCTGAATCAAAACATGGATCTGTAAGTATTGTTCGAGTAAAAAATCTGCATAGGGCTGGTTTTAAAAGATTTTAAATAACTAAATGAGAAAATTAGGTACTCACAGAGTAGATTCTTTCATAAAATCAAAAGAAAACTACGTTTTGCAAACAACTTTTATGAATCAACAACTGTAATATTCCAAATCATTGCTTTTGTTTAAAGCGACTTGGGCAGTGCTATCCTAAAATTAGATGACCAGCTGTGTTTGGTTTGTACATCTCGCTGTCTTTGCTGTGACTGCCTGCTTCGTAGGGAGGACTCCGGCGTGTGCACGGATCTCCTTTTGGTGTTGTTGCAAGCAGGCCGGATACTGAAACATGCAGGAGAGGGGAGCAAGCGCAGAGGAGGAGTTAATGCCTCAATTTCACATACGTGATAGATCCCTTAGATGTGGCTGTTGAAATTAGTGGAATTAAACCTGATCAAAGTTGTTTGAAGTCTAATTTCGACCAAATAAATCCAGTCTAGGAAGATTTTTTTGGCAAACGTAAAAACTTAAGACAAACCGCTTTAATTCTTTGTTCCCAGCAGTTCTAGGAGCAGCAAAATTAGTTCTTTTGGGCATCACACGCAGAGTTAACTTTCATTTAAATTAGACATTTTTGTAGGCATTTTATCTTCTTATTCTGTATTTTTGTTACTTTCTTATTTTAAAACTGTTTTAAGACATTGTGGTTTAAAATGTCTGACAGCTGGTCTGTTTAGACCTATCCTGTTTCCCCAAATGAAACTGGCTTCATTACAGGCTGCTATTAAATTTGAATGGTGAACTGCTTAGGACATTAGTCTGGGCATAATATATTGATATATTGGAGCTTCAAAATGAAGTAAAATACCTTTTTATGTTGATGCACTTTTTTTCATTTTCCAAAGGATCATTTTTTGAATCTTGCATATGTTAAAAAGGAGTCTATCTTGGGTCATCGACATGCAGTGTATTCTAAGTGTAGTGGCCTGATCCCACCACCTGCTTTTCAGTAGCTCATAAATCCAACTGAATTTTGGAGTTAAATTGTTCAGATGACATAGTTTTCGTAATGCGTTTTCATAGCAAACTAGCGGTGATGCATTCTTGGGGATAATAGGAGGTATCTGCCTTTCTGTAACAGGGTAGCTCAGTGTCTGTAAGGAGTATTCTGCTAGCTCACTACTTTAGGAGTTCCTACACTCCTAAAAAAACTATGTTAAATTGTGGACCGTCTTTTTTCCTGGTATCCACAACTGTTTCTATATGGGGAACGTTAAAATTTGAATCTGCTCTGAATTTGTCTATTTGTGCTTTGTTTAGAAGGAAAGTTTCTTTTCTTTAGAACGTGAGTGTCAGGACTTCTGAACAATACAGAAACAAATATATAAGCTTCTGAGTGGAAAAACACTTATTCAGAAAGTGTTGCTGATTTTAATTTTCAAAGATTTACTATTTCTTACAATGGCTAAAATATTTTTTAAATTGTGGTGCCTCACCACATTATCTTAAAAGCAGTCATGTACCTTCTGTTAGGTTTGGGAACTGCATAGTTCTTTAAAGTGTAATTATTTCTTTTCAAGTGCTCAGAAAATACTGAAATAATTTAATATTTAGATTAGAAATTATAATTCCATATTTTTTAAACTGACTTTATAATTTCTCCTGTTGGATTGGCTTCTATATTATTTTCTGTCTGATTGGGGTATTTACATAGGTTACGTTTATCTTGAACAGGTGTCTTTGGAAGCAGGAATATTGCAGCCATTACGTATGGAACAGTTATATTCAGCCCCTGCAGCTGATGCTATTGTCCAACAGCTGCTTCCCATAGCTGGGGCAGCCCCCTTTCCAGAACCACCTGACCCAAAAACATGTAAGTAGGAGTATATTATCTTGAATCCTGCTGTGATTATTTTTCTTGCATGTGGCAAGGGTTTGTCATTTGTTGAATTTAAAGTGCTAGCAGCTACAACACCTTTTCTTAAGTGGAATAGCCCCCTGGTCTTTAAACAGGGAGCCAGCCTGGCCACTTGGTCAATGGCAGAAAGCTCAAATGGTGCATTACAAATCAGTACGTGGTCCAGCTGTTAAGATAGTTCTGTTCTCTTCTGAATAAGTGACTTTTTATTTAGCCACTTAAATCAGAGAAAGGAAAGCATTTCTTCCTCCAATTTAACCATACAAAACTAGGATCAATAGACTAAATAGGCAATTGAGTTTGAAAACTGCTTTCAAAGTATTACCTTTGCCCATCTGATTACAAATTAGAATAGAAACAGCTCTAAAATTTTGTTCTTCCATTTTTATCAATGTCTATCCTTTATAAAGTTTACCAAGTATCCATGTATTTTAATTACGCGTTTTAGCCCTCCTTTTTGTCTTTTCTTCTCTTTCATTCATTCTTGATCATTAGGAATTCTTGTTGCTAGTCAGAAGCAGTGTTACCCTTGGCTTTTATATATATAGTGTCCTTCCAATTATGAACATTTTCTGGCAGTGTATGAACCAATTAAGGGTGTAAAGCAGAGAATAAATTCAGTGTTTCAGCTGAAGAGAACACTTCTATGGCTTAATCTTTACTGACCACACCAAAACCTGAATACTTATTGGGTGACAGGCAGTCTGGCTTTAATCAAGGACAGCACTTCAGCTGATAAGCCACACCTGTTTGTCTAGGATCCTTACAGGTTTTGGTTTGTTCACCTTTCTGAGGGAAGTGCTCTTACAGCTTCACATAGGGTCATGCTCCCTGTTCCTTCTGGCCCAGGGAACGTAAGTTCTGCTGTGTGCAGTGTCTTTGTCAGAATGAGTAGAAGGTTTCTCCGCTTCACCAGTGGGCCATATGTAGAGCACAGGCAATAGCACTGCTGCTTTTTGGGGATGCTGACTGCAGCTGCTTTCTTCTGCAAGGAGCTCAGTGATGCCAATGTGATGGAGCAGATGGGAAGTATGGTAAGTAGACCTCGTGTCAGGGCAGTGAAACATGAGAGAGAGATGCCAACCCAGACAGCCCTTTTAAGGTGGAAGAGTTTGGTATATGGAGTCGTGTTCAAATTTCTGAAGGATCTGGCAAGTAGAAAATAATTGTGAGAAAGAAATCACAGCACCACTGAAATACAGCCTTTGTTTTTCCTCTGTCTAGAAATTCAGTTTTATGACCAACTCTGTTACTGCAGGTTGTAAAGGGCATGAGGGTAGATACTAAAAGCGGTCTAGCTCTAAGAGCACTGAGTTCAGCACGGGCTAATTTACTTTTCTTTCTGTCAGGGTAAATTAGTCCACGTTGCTTTTCATTTCCGTGGCTGAACTGCTTCTGGTGTCTGAGTTTACTCATTTAAAACTAAGTCTGACGCCTCTGAGGCATACTGTAGTTTGTGATTTTGATGCACATTTAGTTTAAAATTTACTCAACTTTCTGTTGTCTTGGCTGGAGAGAAATGAAGACAGATCCATGGCTGTATCTGAACTGAATGAGTCTGTTTAGTTCAAGCTGTGGTGGTATTGATAAAATGACTGATACTTAGTTTATGATATTTAGTGTTTGTCTTTTTCTGAAATCTAAGTGCTTACCTGTAAGTGAAGGCTGTACTGTTTTGCCCAGGTTCTCCTCGGGAATACTTAGAGTATTACATATTTCCAGTACTCTTACCTGCAATGGCTGAACTTCTGCATCGAGCAAAGAAGGAAAAGTGTTTTGAGGTTAGTTTTTAATTTTCAGTTCAAATCACTGGCAGAAATTTACAGCCCTTTATTTCACAGGTGGTGTTTCTTTGTTTGGTCTTTTGCAAGAAAACCAACTACAATAATATGAAATAACATACCATAAGTTGTTTTGGATCTGGTCTTGAATGTTGTTTTCTCCAGTAACTCAGAACACATTGCATACTATACACACCTGATTATTATGACAATTTTCCTCCTTAAATATCCAGTCGAATCTAGCCTAAGTAGTGTTGTATTTTAGAGAAACAGGCTGCCTTTCAGATTAATACACATCACTTACTTGAGGGTGATGTAAAGAACTTGAATTTTACTTCATTACTCAATTGGTTTTGCTGATCAGGCATTCTAGTAGAGGTACATTTTGTATTTTAGCTTTTTAACATTCTGTGTAAATTCCATTTAATTGTGAAGCAGGGTATTCACCATTAATGAGCTTATAAAAATTGTATATTTTAAAAATAATTGTTTGCTACGTATGTTTTTTTAAATTTGTTTTCAGTGTATGTGTCCGTAAACACATCTAGAGAGACATTGCTCATTGTATATAGGGAATGCTTAGAAAAGGATTAGAACTGGTGCAAAATAAAGTTCATTGTATCACTACAGCCTAACTCACAGATCACCAGCAATAGGTTAGGTACTGGGAGTTGTGAGATCTTCCATCATTTCTACTATTTTCTCCAACCATGACAGTAATTTTTTTTCTTTCATACTTTCTGCCTGTCATCCACGCTTTCCAATGTAACGCTTCTCTGCTGAGCCTCCTCTTACGTGCAGCTTCATAATATAAAGAGAAATTAATATAAATGATAATGAAAATATCTTCCTTTTTCTCCATGATACAAGTCTGAGGAATACAGTCTGTGCTCTTGGAGTTATCGATTAAAATGATAGCAAAGTGAGGGCTTTGTGTTACTAGTGGGTTATTAATCATCCTAGGTCTTGATTTACCTCCTCTCCAAATACTGACATTGACTTCCTGTTATAGGTATGTGTATATATGATAACAGACATTGTGGATCAATTTTTTAAAATTACACGTGTGCTATTTGCCACTGACTCATACATGCCTGGCATGGCCAAAAATGTACAAAGCTTGCCAGGCTCGAACGGACACCCTGAACTTGCCTTTCAAATCCAAATTTGTACATTTAATAACAGGAAATTATTTCAATTTTTGCTTAGTCTTCTCAAGATTTGTGTGTATCTATGAATTGATTGATTTATAGATGTGTATATATGTATTTATAATCTGTAATTAATACAAGGAAGATGGGAAAATGGTTCATTTACATGTCGTTATGGCATGACATCTCTGTACATCATTCCTGCCATCACATTTACGTTACCTAGCCAAGAACAGATTGAAGATATATATTATTCATTACACTTTTAATGAAATCTATATTGATTCTTTTTTTTTTTTTTTAAAGAAGCACATATCCTTTAACAGGAAAAAGGCATGACTTACAGCTGGCTTAAAATACAGTATTTGATAGATGTTACGTATTTCTGAAGGAAATAAACCAGCATTTAATACAAAAATATGAGAATTCTTAAAAACATTTCAGTTTCAAACTCAAGACAAATCTGAGGTTACTTTGTCTATTTTTAATTGAGAAATTTTGCAGAGCTTCAGGGGTTTATAGATTAGAAAGTATCTGTTCTTAAAATGGATTTTATATGGGTCTGTGTGTTGCTTTATAGAAAACAAGTACGCCCAATTATTTTCTAATGTATAGAACCCTCATAAAAATGAGCACATCTTATCGAAAAGACACTAAGTGATTTTTGTTGTTATGGGAAGAGATGTCCTGCTATTGGGGAACCGAGTTTAGGAAAACAAGCTTATGTCAGATCATCATTTTCCACTGTGACATCATTTCTTCCTCCTTTTAAACAATAACTGGTAAAACAATAGCTCTTTATGCTTGCCATTTGACTGAATATTTGTGTTCTTTTCCATTATTGCCCAGGTGCTTGTATTTGGACATTCTGTTTCCTTATCTGACTTAAATACGTAATTTCTAATTATACTTTTGTTCCATAAGAAATGTGTTGTTCCGTATGGATTTGGAGGAAAAAAACATGCTATAATTTGTATTAAAATGGTTAGTGCAATAGCTGGAACTGATTTTTAGGATCAAAACCAGAGCTCTTAGAAACCCAAAGAAAGTTAGGGACAGAGAGAAAGGATCTTGTGATAAACACACCAGAAGATAGCTTCAAAAAAATTGGAGAACAAAGAGTAGAGAGATTCATGGAACTGATGAGAGAACAGGAGAGGAACATGATTAATTGTGATTAAGCTAACTGAAATCATGAACGACGAGAACAGAATACTGAGTTTGAATTTTGGCTAGACATGAGTCATTAAAGCCTGTAAAGGGCAGCTGTATAGAATAAACTAGTGGAAGATAAATGGAAGAAGCACTGGAAGAAAGGGAGGAATAATCAAACTGACTGCAGTCAATGTTGAACAAGCCCGGGAGAAAAGAGAGGGAATTGCAAGGGAGAAGAGTGGGTTTTTGATGAGAGGGACTAAAGGTTTTCATGTTTTGAAGGGGAATGAAGATGAATGAGAAGAGAATGCAGAATTAAGTAGGAGAGTTGGTTAGCAATTGAAATTGTGGTAAGGGAGAGCAGATCATGGGACCAACAGTGGAATTCAAGGAAGAGATCAGAAAAGATGCATCCGTGTCTGGAAAGGAAGAATTGTAGACTCAGATGGGAAAGTCAGGAAAAGGAGATGGTTATGCTGAAAGCAGTTATTTGTGTAGGAAAGAAATCTGCAAGATCTTATTTGGAAGGTGCTATAGAAACATAACAGCTTAAACATTTTGTTTAAAAGAGGCTCTCTTGCATTATGTAGGGCATGTGAAAAATCTGAAAAGCAAAAACCTAGAAAAAGCACCAGCTGCTAGATATATTTGCAGACTTCAAACTGACGTGAATATGAGAACAGTCTGCAGAAGCTTCGTTTTTAAATTAGAGATGAAAGAAACCTATTAGGTTGCCCAGTGTATTCCCTTGCTGATTTTTTTTTTCCCCCACCATGATTTTTTCCTGTGCTTTATCCTATATGCTGTCAAATGTCTCCAGGGGAAAGACTATTTTCTTAAATATATTCTCTCATGAGAACTGACTAATGCATTAATTTTTCAGCATTAAAACTGAACAGTATTTAAATGTTTTTATTAGCATAACTCCGATTTTTCTTTCTGGTTAGCAATCACAGAAAGAGGATGCTGTATGAGACTCTTTATTGGAATATGCTATATTTAAAAGTATGATAGATCAGGGAAAGTGAATGAAAGAAGGCTTCCGAATGACTTTGCTATCTCTTGATCACCAGAATTTGCATGATTATTACCAAGCACATAATATTTAAACTGAAAAATGGAAAATGAATTCTGAGTATAAATAGTTTATAAACACATCTGCAGGTTAACAATGCACATTGTGCAGATATTTCCTGTGTTTATCCTGATTCATGTAGCACAGGAGAAATGTGTCAAAGGCAGGTCAATTTATGTCATCTTTTCTCTTCTGTAAATGTTGACTGCTTTGCAACTAATGATTTAATTCACTAGCGAAGTGAACTGTTTCTTGGCAAAAAAATAACAAAATTTAAAAATATTCAGTTTGACTGAATTTCATCCTGATAAGTTCGCTGGATCTAACAAGGATAAAACAAGATGAATTTGAGTCCTTTGGTGATGACTGTTTTGACATTGTTCTGGACATTTTTTCCTCTTTCAAAGGAAAAGCAATTTACTTAAAACAGATTAAATTACAACTGCTAGATTAAATTGAATGTTGTTGTCAAAGCATAGAATGTGTTCTCTGAAACACTTCACTAAGTAATGGGATCCAGTTTCATACTGTGATTGAGAATTGCTGTACAAAGACGACGAGACTCTGCTATTTGTTTTCAGATTCTGTTCAAGTCAAAATTTGTCCATTTAACATTTAAAATGACCTGTAGAAAGCTCTTCAGTGAAGGTGTTGGTCTCCTAAAGCTTAGGTGTTTGGCTTCTCCGAGCAGTATCTGGTATTAGTGTGACAAGTGTGAAAATTCCTTAAGGAGATGTGTTTCTTCACAGTCAAGCACTCTAATGAAGTTCACCACATGAACCCCAAAGCTTCTCTTGTCGTGAAACAGGTCATAAAGGCACATGGGGTTCAGGACTGATAATTGTTTTGCAATGTTCTCTTTCTCTGCCCTGCTTTTTTTTGTTTGTTTGTTTAAAGAAGTTCTCTTTCTTTTCTATGGGAGTCAGACTATATGTCTACCAAGGATAAGATTCACTTAGAAAAGTAAAAACTTTCCTGGGTGTCAACAAGGAATGCTGTGCAGTCTGGCTCTAAACTTCCCGTTTGTCACCCCCTAGCTACCTGTGTTCTTCACTCTGCGTTCAGCACCTCACATAACGTTCCCCTTCCGCTTCACCCGTGGCCCCCAAATTATGCCATATGCTAACACCCCAAACTGAAAGGGTGTTTCAGCCATGTAGAGGGCTTTTTTTCTGTTTCTCTGTTCACATCCCCTAGTCCTTTTTGCATCATATTCTTGTAGCAGAGGGAGAAACGCAGATGGTGAGTATAATGCATAGAATAAAGTCATTTGTCATGCATTAAATTTCCAATTGCATATTTATTGTATTTTTCTTAGCAAGTGGTAGAAGTACCTTCATTTCTTATGTTTTAATCAAGACACCAGCCTCTTTCAATGACATTTAGCAGTTTCACAAATGTGTTTGACCAGTGAATTATTTTCCTAAAAAGTAATAATTGCAGCTGAATCTCCCATTTGACAGGGTAAGTATTACCTTCTAGATGGGAGCTAGACTTTCTCTTAGCTCCTATTTTGATAAAGCACTCCGTGTCTCTGTTCTGCGGGGGCTTAATGTCTTTTAGTGTTGGCTCTCTGGCTGTGTACATCCATAACACATCTCATATAAGAGGGGTTCAGAAGACACTAGTCAAACTCTTCTGTTATTCCGACCAGCAGTCCACATTATATTCTGCAATCATAGTTACCCTGGTTTGTGATAAGCAGAATAAGCATCTGTACTCATTTACACATTCAGTCTGTAAAGATGTGGAGAGGAAATCTCTAAGAAAAGGAAGGCCCTGATCAATTCTGTATTGATCAAAATTCATGCTTTGAATTTTGAACTCAAAACGTACTTTACAGCGTGCAGTGCTGTCCAGATAAACAGCTACTGGCTGCATGAGTCACTAAGGATAACCCGCTGCAAAGCATTTTGCAAAATTCTCTTTGGTGGTGAATAAGTCTTAGAACTGGGAGTAAAAGGCACAAATGTTTGGCTCTGAAGCTCCAGGTTTTGAACTTTTTACCTGATCTCTGTAATGTCCATGGTATCTGTGGTTGTGGATATACATATGCCTTGTTTCTGCCTTGTTTCTGCCTTCCTTTCTGGACTACCTAACAGACAATTTTGTCTGCTCTGTGTGTTTGTCTTAAGTATCCATGCTTTCAAGCTGATGCAGGAGGAAACAATGAAACTCATATGTGAGTTATGTTAATTTCTTTGCAACAAGATTGCCATTTAGAAAGAATGCCATTCTGAGATATTTGTTATAGCTATACCAGATAGTGCAGGTAGAATTTTCTCATTCATTTTTGACCTGACTTGAAAGCATTCTACAAAATTTCTAAAATTTTGACTGAGCCACTTGCTGTTGGCAGTAGCGATATTGGAACAGACAGAGTGGTATACTGTGTATTGTATTTAATAAAAGCAGTCAATTTAGCTTCTCTTCCTCTCCAGTAGTAAAAACATGTGACCAATCCAAAGATAATAAATAATTTGAAACTATCTTCTATCTTTAGAGAAAAAGGACCAAATTTATTGCCTGTGATTTCCTAACTGAGTGGTTATACAAGTAAGTTAATCATGGCTTTTACTAGGCTTAATGGTTCAAAGGCATTAATTTGCAAATAGAATAGCTACAATTTAAATTAATATGAGTTGTATTCTTTTTTTTTTTTTTTTCTATCAGCAAGAACCCAAAGAGGAAAGATGAGTCATTCACAGAATTCTTTTCCATTCCTTTTGTTAAGGACTGGCTAAAGGACCAGTAAGTTATTGCAATACTCAAGTAACCTCTTCTCCTTTTATTCTTTTTTCCCTGCTATTCCAAAAAAGTAATAGAGCTTCAACGCATGACGGTTGTACCCTCTAAATGCCCTTTACTGCATGCAACAAAGAACTGTGTGATGCTTTCTAACTTGGTAGTGTGTTAGTTACAAGGTATTTTGTACCAGACTTGTTCACAGAGAAATTAGTTTAGAATTCTTAAACATTTTAATTGTAGAGTGCAGGGCACTCAAATAGTCTGGTAGTATTTTGAATATATTTGTACTAAGGAGCAAAGCAGTGTTTTCAATGCTGCTTCCTACTATGGAAATCTTTGAGGATACACAGTGTAGAAATTCTTCCTCTAACTGTAAGCAGCTGTTTTAAAAATACCTGTAATAATCCTTGGCATTAGGATGCATTTCTGCAGGCATTTATGACTTTGCATCTGAAAAATTAAAACTCGTTTTGGCAGCCTCAATTGTATATTCCTCATTATTCCTACTACACAGTAGTTTTGAAAGAAATGTTACTCTCCTTGAGACTATTTTGTTTTAAAATGAAGCTGTTATATGAGGAAAAAAAAGAAAAGTAAAGTAATAGTCGACAGTGAGATAATAAGAAAATTACAGAGGTCAGATTTTAAAGAAAATTTTCAGTTTGAAAACTTAATTGGAGGCTAGATTGGTGGTCAGTGAAAACTTAGAGGTTAATATATTTGTAGATATGTTTACTTCATTACACTTTGTAAGTGGAAATTGACCTTTCTTGAGCTCTTGTCATGTGAAACTTAGTATCTGGAGTCACTGATCCAGCAAGAGGAAAGCTCCTTGACAGTCACAGGTCTTTGGAGTAAAGCTGGTGCTTGTGGCATGAACAGTTAGTTAACTTTGACCACATGACAATCTTTAAGATAGTTGTGCTGGAGGTTTCTGCAGTAAGAGATGGACATCTGTGGAGACTGACCCATTTCATCTCAACTCTGATACCTTAGGTACCTGCCACTGCATCATACTGCCCAGCTGCTGTTGTTCAATCTTACCGCTGGCGGGACACTTCTAACAGTTTCATTCTGTAGATCCCTAGGTCTGGTCAACAAGATTCCTGTTTAAGGCAGTGAAGTTTGTAGTTTGGAAACTGGTTATGAACTGCAGTGAGGCTGTCATGCTCATTTCTTAAGCATACTGAAGAGCCATTGGTTAGCAAAGCAGTTTTGATACCACTGAGTTGTGAGGATGGATATTTATACCTGAGATAAGTATCTAAGATCACAGTTTTACAAACGTTTCTCTTGGAAGTAAAACTGACCTAAATGGTTCCCTGCTCTCTCCTGTTTTTCACCCCAACCTGCTTGTATGCAACCTAGTATCCCCCTGTCTGTTTGGTAGGATGCTTGATTATTCTGATCAGGGATCTCCTCTGAGTTAAAAATCTCGCTGCCAAAATGTGTGAGGAGGGTTTGTATATCATAAAATATAGGTAACTTGTCCAATCTGGTTCACCTGGGAGCCTGACAAACCTTTGTATTGGCACAAACGAAGGATGAAAATGAAGGGCTCAGGGCAAGGTGAAGAGAACAAATGAGCTGCTAAGATATAGAGGTGGTGGCAGGAACTGCTTCAGTCAGCTTTGCCAACAAGAGGAATACACTGTGGAATCACAGCCTGGATGACTCATAGCTTCTGTTAGTACTTGTGCTCCTAAATAACGTAGTGACAGCTCCGCAAGGACGCTGGAGTGTCAAAGTCCCACTTAAATCAATACACACCTGATCTTAAATCCTATAAACAACTAGGCCTTGAAAAATAATAGTTATTAAAATTATTATTAAAAAACAACTTTTGGTGAACTTATCTTAAAATTACAGGTTTCCTAACAAATATTGCTTATGAAGTATTATTAGAGCAAAGCGAAAGACTGCCATATTAAATAAGAATAAAAATGAACTAATTTATTATTATGTCCTTCTGATATGTCATTAAAGGTTTATTGTTATGTCCTTCTAGATATAACATTTAAAATTTAATTAATTCTATGCTTTTTATTGTCATTTCCATTTGTATTTGTAAAGGAGTTTTCATTTTTAACAAGATTTATTAATATGTAAGAGACAATATGCTAAAAAGTCAAATTTTGATGGGAAACATCCTTATCCCAACTGTTCAGATGATATAATAAAGAAAAAGAAGTAAAAAAAAAAAGTGTTGCTGCAAATTTAAGGGTAAACTTTTGTGTTGCTTTTTCAGTTACTTGTCTAAATTTGAAAAGCTTTCTGAAAGGTCTGTTAAATAGGAATACATTTCTATGCTGTGTTAAAATAGAGTTAATCAGTGCAAAGCAGCTTTCATGCTTAAAAAAACCCAAACCAAACAAACAAAACCCAGAGGGATGAACTTGTTCTATCAGAGATCCAGCTTTCAAAAATATATTCCATACTTGAGTATGACTTTTTTGGCTCTCCTGGAGTGCATCCAGTTTTTTCTTTGAAGCTCATTATTTTTTTAAGAATAGTCAGAGCCACAGTCTTACAAGCCTCACTCTCTCTATGATGTGTTTTTGAATGGGATCTTGCAGCCTACTTTTCCTTTATAAGGAGACCCAAATGCTGAATTGATTTCCAGATTTTTAAATGCAGACATTGTACCTTCAAAAGCTGGTTACTGTAGGTGAAGGAGCTAGCATGCTTTGAACTTGTTTCCACCTTTAGTGTGTATAATAATTGCTAAGACATCAGTAAATAAAAGCCTCAGTATAGTTATCTTGTCTTCCACTGGGTTCTGTGCATGAACAGTAGCACTGACAAAATATTATATCCCTTGGGAATCCTTGATTCCTGAAGCAGATTTCAAAAGCAATAAAAGGAGCAGCCTCAAGACTGACTGATGTCTACATTTCACGTCCAGGAGAACACAAAACATTTCTGTTGTCTTAAAGGACAGCTGTACGTTTCAGAGGACAGGAAACTGGAGTTTTAAAAAGAAACTAGCAAAAGTTTTGGGGAATTTGCTGAGATACATACTGATGTCCCTATTCCTACATTCAAGACTGCTGATATAGCCAAGTAAATAGAATTAGAGCCTTGAATGTTTTGTACTCCTATAAATATGCTAATGAGCAACACAGTTGCCTTTTGTCAGCGTTTCCAGTGGTGTTTCTGGTTGAATAGCAGGGAAGCTCAATCGCAAGTGTCCAAGCTGTATGTACTGGGTCAGGGACAGGGAACACGTGTGATCTGTGTTTATGTCCTGATCCCCTTAAATTTTACTTTTCTAGCACAGATAGGCTGAGTTTTTATTCCAAGTATCCTGGGAGTATCATTACCCAACCTTCTTTAGCATATTAATGAAAGAAATATGAACAAAACAATAAAAATAGTTCCACTGCTTTGAAAAGTACTGATATCATAAAAGTCTACTGTCACGTGAATTTAGTAATATGCCAGTGGTGTTCAAGTTCACCTTCAACCCATACATTCAATGAAAGAGAATGAGAGATAGATCTAGGTTAGGAATAAGCATAAATATTTTCCTGGCTGTTGAAGATCAGGCTTTGTATGCATATTTTACAGGGGTTACAGGAACTGAAGGCGTATTTTATAATTAAACATTAATTCACAAGAATTTATTTATCTGCACTGTCTCATTTCTATATAAAAGTATTTATTTAATACTTAGTTCAGAAGGACATTTCCTGGTTTAATCTGTGTGTACCAAAACAAATGTGCAGATACAGAGAAAATAAACTCATCATGGCTTTGATGAAGTGGGCAGCTAAGATAAATACATAAATGTCTATAAATGATTACTAAATCTGAAGTAGTGGCTTTTTGCCAAATATCTGTATATACATATATATGCATTGATTTTTTTTTTTTTTTCCTCCCTCCCCCCTACTATTTTAATTAGGTGAAGTCTGCTGGTCTCAGCTGCCTTTACAGTTGACTTCATTGTCAGTTCTCAGATGGCCAATAGGGGTAATTTTGCACGAGTGACTGATTTCTTTCTTTCCGTAATGTGCCCAGTTTCTACAGGCTTTGCTTTCTGCACACTGCTATATTTCACTGGTTTGTTGCTAAACCAGCCATATTTAGAATAGATTTAGTTTGCATTATGTTCTTTCTTTCATTTTCTTTAATAATTTGAGTTTTAAATTATGGGGAAGGGTATGGTGAGCAGCACATTTAATTGTAATAACAGAAAAGTCCAACAAATATGTCTGTATGGGTGTTACTATATGTGGATCCAAGTAAAGAATTGCCATTCCAGTAATGTGGCAGAATTCAAGTTAATGAAGGAGAAAATTTTGACTTAAACTACAACTGTGACTTGGAAAATTGCACAAAGTTTATGTATACAATATTTATGTTGTGCAATGGTGTTTTATGAGGTTGAGGTTTTATGGCTATAAACCTGAAACTTGCCTTAATTATGTAAAAATTGTCAAAATGGCAATGAGAAAATTGGAAATGTATTAGTGGTTTGTGACATCTTCCTAATGTTGCTGTTAGAACAGTAATTGGCAATTATTTTTGCTGCTGTTGGTTTTCCGTGTTTGCAGGATATAAAGTGTCATCTAAAGTACACAAACATAGATGGAAATTTTCCCGCTGACATGAGTGGACTTGGAAATAGGTCCATGTTTGGTTTCCTTCAGTTCAGGACCACAAACACACAGAATACATAAATATTGGTCCTACAAAAGAGAAAACTGAGGCAACACATTTTTTGTGACTTGCAAAATACGTAGAAAGTGTGCAAACACAGGAGGAGGACTGAGTTTCATCATTAAAATGGATAAGTCCTCCCCAAGTAGAGAGCATATTAGGAGGCAAAAAAAAAAAATCTATAGTTTTCAGGCAGAACTTAAGATTCTTGCTCTGTTATTGTTTTGGCATCTTCTTGCTACTAAGACTTCTTGCTGCACTTCCTCCAGTTCCGCTGACCTTCTTGTTACCATTCACCTGTTTGGCCTCGTTCTTCTGTCCGTTACATGACTCTGCCTCCACACTTCCCAACTTTCTCATGTGGGTTCCACACTATCTTTTCTTTTTACCACATCTTTTCTTCATTATAAATAGGTAAAGAAGTATATAAATAGTTTGTACATGTTAACAGTTGTATGCATATTATCACTTTTACCACTTGAGTAATACATCTAAGTGTATTTTATAGTTTTATCATGCTGTAATATTTTTCAGCTTTTTTTGTTTTGTTAGAATTGTGGCTGAGACAGATATGAAACAGGGGATTTAAAAGTGAAATGTTTTGTTTGTTCACAACCTATAGCCTTTATATTTGAGGATGTTCAAAAGAGAAAAGTGTATTCAAAAGACTGGCAAAGCAGTGGAAGATGCAGAGAATGGAGGGGGGACAAGAGGGGTCAAAATATATATGTATATTTTTTATTCTTCATTTAGCTATTGACAGAATCAAGGAGCTTTTATTTGGAGAAGATAATAGAGAAGAGTTCATGCAGTTTGCAGGAGTCACACTTCAAAATGTCTGCTCATTTGCACTTCCTTTCTTCAGAAGATTAAATTTGGTTATTTCCACATTCACAATCCTTCAAAAGTGTACACTCCATATCATGCACAAGAATGTTTTCTTATCTATTGTAAGGATTTTTTTTCTCCAAATACTTTTCTCTTATTCCAGTGCATTTAGATTACTGCAAAAGAAAGCCAGTAGTTAGTAATTTCTTTCTGAATGTTGAATAGTTGTATTGATACTAACAATGTTACAAAGAAGGGTCTCAGTTTATGCTCAGTTTCACCTGTGAAAATGTTGCAGGCTACTTTTGTCGAGTATATGTGGGAATATTTCCCTGTAAACCTGTGAGGCCTATACAGTGATAGTATAATATGGGATTAATAGATCTAATTGGTTTTAAATACCAAGTCAGATAAATCAGTACTCTGGTGTTTGTTTATTAAAAATCTTTTTCCTGCTTTTTGGGTAAATGTTCTTAATAGTATCTAAGTCAGAGATTTTTGAGATATTTATTTTTAATCCAAGCAATAGTTTTTTATTGTTGCACACTTTTGCAACTCTGGATAGGCATGAAAGAAGAAGGACTTAATATGCTGTAATATTTCTAGATTCTCTAAGTAGGAATAAAAAATACTGAAAATATAAAAGAAAACTGCTTTGAAAAATTTCCATAACAATTTTTTCGATTGTTCAGACCAGCATATGAATTTTTGGAGTACTTTCCAAACCAAAAACTTTTTCAGAATAATTTTTTTTTTAAGAGTTACGCAGATCACCGTGTCTTACATTTATCCCTATTCTTTGGTCTGTTCTTTTGTCTTTCAGGTTATGAATTTTGCAGTGACTCTGTCACTGCCTGGGTTCGTACAGGAGATAAATATTCAAAACCAATAACCGTCACGGTCAAATTAAAGGTGAAGTGGTTATGGCTGTTTAATATGGCAGTGCCTGTCGTGTTGAAACTTGCAGGCCTCCAGAAGGCCTGATTTTTGTTGCTCGGGTTGCTTCAATATTTCTAGAGACGAGCTTTCTAAAACCAGAGAGGAGCCCTGACCGCCCATGGACTGCGCCTGGATATTGCGCTGTCGCCTGCGCCCGTCCGCCCCCGGCACGGACGCTCCCTGTAGCTCGCGCTGTGCTCCTGCAGGCAGCTGCCTGCACGGCTGGTGCTTAAATTTGGTGGTTGTCTGCTCCTGTTAGGGAACAGATTTGAATAAAAAGAGCAATTCCAAAATTCTGAATTATACATAGTGAAAATTTTGCTCGATTAGTTTTATTTTCTTATATTGCCTTTTCAAGGAAGAAATCAGACCTTCTATTTGTAGGACAGATTGGGGACTTAATGACAATTGGGGTTTCTGGACATTACTTTATAAAAATACTGACTGTACACAGTGCCCATCAGAGTGACTATGAACCCCCCCAGGTGAGCTTGTCTATTTTGGTGACAAGATAATGGAGGGCCTTTTTTTCCCCCTTGAGAATTCATTGAGAAACTCAGCTTCTGTCCACAAGGAAATCAGATACATGTCTTCAGTAAGAACCTTTTTCAACACCTCCTGCATTTACTTAATGCAAGTCAGCTTTATGTCTTCTGGGTACCAAACTCCACTTGCATAACGTAATATAATTAGTAAGTGTCTCACATAATCAGGATCTGTACAAGTTTGCTCAAAAAGCAAGAAACGTGTTTCTGGAATTTAACTTCCCTCTAGTCAATGTCTGCTTTATTCAGATTTGGTAGAAGACAGTGCTTAAGAAATATCGTTTTACTGATGCCCTTTCACAGGTGCAACTTACGTTAAATAATATATCTGATATATATATATATATCTCAAAATAAATATCAATATGTTTAATGTGTGGGCTTTTAAGATTGTGCATAATCAAAGACTAAATAAGCAGAATATGGTTAGTGTACATTTTACTGTCAGTTTTAATCTTCTTGGAGGCATACAGCTGTCTTCTGCCACAAATGGCATTTTTCCCCTTTTCCCAGTTCACTGCTGAGGGGTGATTTGCCTCTGCTCAGATTCTATTTTTATTTGACCTGAAGCCAATTGCGTATATTCTCTTAGACAAAACTGGACCTGGCATGACTTCTGTTCTTTGTAGCTGCCCTGCTGAAATGATTGATATTTGACAGTGATTGTCATACTGAAAATTAAGTCCCGTTTCTTACTTGAATTTATATTGGTTTCTCAAATTTAGTGTTGGATTATAAATGAAACATTTTTCTGATTTGAAAATGAAAGCAAATTAATGCTGGAGGCAGCCTTGTGGGCTAGGAGAGATCTCAGTTTGTTCTTTAGAGATGTACCCGTTCTCAGAGAAAGTTCAATGTCTTTGGTAGAACTGCTCTAAAATATGTAGGTCTTTCTGTGATTTTCCCACTCTGGGTTTTGGTTTTCAAAAAGATCAGAAATAGAACAGAGGATGAAAGCCTATCAGCCAAACCAGCACAGTCCAACTTCATATTTTTAAATCTGATTATAAGAAGCAGTTAGCTCAAGAAGCCTTGCTCGTCCAGCACTTACTATTTCCCTTGAGCAGTGGAAATGCTAATTAATGTTCTCAGAGCTAAAACTGTTTAGCTTAATGGAGAGACTTCTTTTTATTTCTGTCTTATTTCTACCCTTCCAAACAGACCAAGGTTTTCTTTCACATTAAAATAAATGTGGGCCAAAACCCAGCTGACATGGTGATGAGAGCAATTTAGCTGAGCACACAGACTGAAACGGTGTAGTCAGTATAGCATTAGATCATAGTTAAGATTGTGCTCTACGTTGAAATGCTCCTTCAGTGAAGGCAAGCCCTAAGAGAAAGGCATCAGAGAGCACAGGAAGCTTACTAGGGCAGCAACTAATATGAATGAAATTAAATGAAAGGAAAATGTAAGCTGTCAAGCCTCCTAGCTTGAGCTGTAATATGCTGTAAAATAGATTTCCAAGAGAAATGGCAGAAGTAATGTTTTAGCCAGAAAATGTAAGACTGCATAGCTTTGCAATAGATCTGTCTTTATAGTATAAATACTATAAATAATGTTCCGGCATGGGTTGCATGTGTCTCTAGTTTTGGTAAAATAGACAATTTACAACTCGTATAGACAAAAATATATTTGATAGTTAAATCCAAATGCTTGCTGCATCCAAATTCATAATGCTGTGGTCTTCCAGGTCAAAGCTGTGTTGAATGTGTGTCCCATACAGGGCGAGCAGCTCTTAGCAGCCGTTTTAATGCTGTGCCAAGTCTACTGTTTATAAATGGTGTTTTCATGAGTTGCGACGTTGTTGCCCTATAGTTCGTTAGCTTTAAATTACATTTATTGTAAAAGAAGCCATGTAAGTTTATGTTGTATTCTCCTTTTCTGTGGAAGCTTTCTGATCATTGTGTGTGAGAAATAAATCAATATCCATAGAAAATGGCTTTTGAGAAGCAAGATTTGATATAGTGATTTGAGTTTTTGTTAGTGATGGCTGAATTGTTATTACAATTTAGAGTGTTTCCCGTTAAAATTGGTAGCAATAGAATCATCAAAAATGCATTCAAATTACTATATATTTTGGCTGAAAATTGTTGACTGCACATGTGTATTACTTTCTCTTATCACCAAACAATGTGTATATGCTAACAAAAGTAAAATTTCAGCATTTTAAGAACTTGTTTAGACATTTCTAAACATGGATCCATGGTAGCTATGATAATCATTACGTTTTTCAGTACATTTTACTTTTAAGTGAAATCATAATGTAAATTAATGTACTAAAATATATTTATGTTCTGTGTATTTAATAGTTTTTAGTAGCATTTATGTCATAAGTCTGCTCATTGTCGCAGGCACACTAAAACCTCCTCTGCTTTACAAATGGCATTTCTGTTTCTCTTGCTCCCCTCCCACCACCTCGAACTCTACCTTAATGGTAGGAATTTGAAATATGTGTAGCAGAACAAGAAAGATTACTGCGCTTGAGGTGCCAGTTGTGTATTACTGTTTTAAAGAAGAAATTATTGTAGTGTACATAACACGAAATATATTTTATTGTATTTCTTTGTGCGTTTTGTCTTTGGACCAATAAGAAATGGTATCTTTCAAGATCCTGAACAGCCTTTCTCTTTTTTTTATAAAATATACTGTTAGGGAAGAAAGTATTTTACATTTATAGACTGTTTGTTTAAAATACATTTTTTTTTTTTTTTTAAGTCCTAGGCCACCAATTCCTCTATCTCTCCTTCTATCCGAAGAAGAAGCAAGCATAGTAATTCAGTCCTTCTGGAGAGGTTATCGGGTAAGAGTAATCTATAATTATTTTGCTTGATGTTGGAAACTGTAGGACTGTGAAGGCCCCAGGGAAAATCCTTACATAAATTTTAAGTAGGGGATACTATAAATAGCTGCTGAGACCCCCATGGTTCATTGGCTTTGGATGTTGCTCTGCCTTATGCCTAGTGACTACAATTTTTTCACCGGCATTTATGCTGATGTAATCTCACTGTTTTCCTCAACAACAGGTAATCTCCAGAAACTGGATTTTCAGAAGTACAATTAACACTGAACAATTTTCTTTTTTTTTTTTTTAGTTGATCTTTGGCTAGTTGCTAAAGGATGAAATGTTATTTTGCTTTGTGCAGGGATATGTGAGTGATTATGGAGATGCATAAAGAGGATTGGTGAGGTCTGGCAAGAAATAAAAGCATACAGAAACAAAGGAGAAAAAATCGAAAGCCATACTAGTAGTACAACACTAACAAAATCTCCAGTTTAAAGGGGAAAAGCAAGGTGCATAAAATAAATGCAAAGAAAATTGGCTAATACAGTTATTTCGGAGGGTAACAGCCATGCTAAGACTAGGATATGAAATAAATTATTTTGAAAATCCTGAACAGATTCTGTCAAATATTTCTTCAAAAAGCTCTAAGACCTTCATGCCTTGGAAATAAATGAATTCGAAATTCAGGTGACTGTGGTGACAAAGAAATGTCTTTGACTACAGTTATCAAAATTTAAGCTTGTAAATAGTCTCCAGATATAGCAGTAATTTTGTTGTGATGGACAGTGACACTTCTCTGTCTGTACGTCAGGTGTTTAAATAACAATCGGTGTAAAACATTCTCTGTTAAGTTTTTCTTTACTACTTTTAAAAAGCATGAATGTATGAATAGCTACTATAATGTGCTGTGCAGCCAAATATGATGAAATACTTGAAATGATCTTCTTGACTGATAGATTTTTGTGATGCTTTCTGCTTGTTCGTTTTCCGTTACTTTTCTTTTTTTGAACAGAGATGGCATTGACACTAACATTAATTAGCACTGACAATATCACTGCAGGCATCCTTACAGTGGAGTAGGACAAAGGCAACCGTTATCCACTAACACTTATGTTTGATGAACAGTGCAAGGTTGCTCCAATACCTTGTGCTTCTACCAAAGCTCATGAAAGGCATTATCCTTCCTTGCTATGTATATTAACTTCAAAGTTTTTGCAGTAGTATTTATCATTCTAAACTAGTTCCCAGAAATGAGAGACAAACTGTAGCTATAAAAAGTAGGTGACATCAAAACTAATTCAGACTGTGAAACTAGTTGTTACATTTTTTGGCTTATTAGAGCTGAAAGAACTTGGGGTTTTAAAAGTCTAAATTTAAATTAAAATCAAAATATAAAATCAAAATCATTAGTAGCAAGTTACTGCATAGGGCAATGTGTTATTGTTGGGCTTGTACATTAAGAGAACACTAAGCTTAAATTGGATTTCATTGCATTAATGATAAAGTATATTATGAAAATTTACCAAATAATTCAGATTATTTGCTTTTAAAATAAATAGCTCTGTCGGCTAACACTGATTGATCATGGTAATGACTGAACGCTTACAAAGAATGCTCTTTTGCATTCTAAGGACACTATTGTGTCAGTATTTTAAACACTTTTGTGATATTTTTCATTAAACCTTGTTTTATAATTCACTGAATTTGGAACTTTTAAACACTATTATTGAAATAAAAATTTATACATTGTGAAAACATTGAATAATTAAGCTCAAGCATATGTACATATTTTACATGGCACTGTGATAAAGGAAAAACGTACTTCAGCATCATTGGTCTTCTCAAGAAACACTTTAAAGGACATAAAATCACATGCTGTAGGTACTTGTTTGAAAGATGGATGGAGAAGGATTCTGGACTCACTGTTTGATTTCAGGAAAAGTAAAAGGCTTAGAAATCTGGGCAGGACAGTTTTGTCTTTAACAACGCTATCCCAAATGTGAAACTTTTAAGTTTTTTTATTCTTAAACAATGTTACATAAAGTGTGAGAAACCGCAGCAAGTTATTTTTCTTGCACATATCTTCTATGGACTCAGACCATTTTTGAGATATGTTGTTAACCATATTGATCTAGGCAGTAGAGTTTATCTAGTTATATAACTGACTGAGCATCGTGTCTTCTCATGACGCTTCACTTGTTTCTTCCACATATAGCTGAGTGTGCCATTATCAAAAACACATGGCAATCAGCAAAAATGCATCAGGCAGTAAAGGTTTTTCTACATAAAGGGAAAAAAAAAAGCTAGAGGTACAGAATATTGAGAACTTTTCATAATAAAGCATGATCAAAGCAGTACATTCATCCTTATCCGAAGCAAATTTCAGAAAAATCCTTGTATTCAGTACCTGAATCCAGTATTCAGTACCTGATGAAAACCCTTGTTTGGTAGGTATCAATTTTCCAGGCACTTTTAGAATCATAGAATGGTTAGGGCTGGAAGGGACCTTCAAAGGTCACCTAGTCCAGCCCCCCTGCAAGGAACAGGGAT